CTTGAGTAAAGAAAAATTTGATTTTATCTTAAAATCTCAAAGAAGTATTTATGACAAAGGGGGCATTGGATTTGATTATTCTAAAAAGCAAAAGATTTTTAAGAATTCTTTTGTAAGAGCAAGTCAATCCTCTCATCCTAATGTTACTTGCTATTGTTGTAATGCAAATGGACACTTTGCCTATGTATGCCCTTTGAAGAGATTGATAGCTCAAGGTAAAGTGAAGCAAATTTGGGTACCAAAAATCAAAACTTAATTTTGTTTTGTAGGTAAAGTTAATGGCAAAGTCATAAGAAGAGTAAAGTTGATCTTGATAAAGACTTATGCCTCAACAAGAATGTTGGAGTGAAAGTGCAAAGAGAATTTGTTTTTGAATGCTCCACTCATGTGCTCAAATTGGTATCATTTATCCTATTGCATTTATTCATTAAGTATAATCACACTAGCATGACTATTAATTATTGGTTTATGTGTGCTCACTCTTTGATACATATGCTTGTTGAGTATGATTCCATTTGATGTGTCTTTCCTAGTGCTTGATATGATTCTTGAAATTAATGAATTTGATTATTAGAATTTGTGTACCTTGATTATATTCATGCTATTTGATGATGCATACATTGATATATGACTAAAGTTGCATAATTTAGTAGTTGATGTTCAATTTAAACTTAGTTAAATGAAGAAATATCAAATTAGGTACACTCCCTTCAAAACAGCCCCAAACTTTCTGTTTGTCCCAATCAAGGCTAGTAGAACCGGTTCAACCATTTTCACAGCTGGCTCAACCCAAAAACCCAAGAGCTTCTCTCTCTAGAATTAAGCCGGCTCCAAGACTAAAGCCAGCTCTCCGTCAGTCTTTAAATCTTTCGGGCTTCTCTCTCTTCGAACCAGATCTGCTATTTTCTCAACCCGTAGGCGAATCCGACCCAAACCCAGTCACTTGTGTTATCATGCTTTGTGAATGGTAATGGCATCACTTGTGTTATTATGCTTAATGGTTGTCTATGATTTTGATGATTGTATGCTCTTATTGACGGGGAGCATTTTGTGCTTAAATTACTCTTCTTAATGGTTATCATGCTTAAATGCTTTAAAGATTGATGTGCATGAATTAAGGGGGAGTTTGTTGTTTATATACTTTTTGATGAATGACAAAAAGGGGGAGAAAGTATGCTGAATTCTCATAATTTTCTGGAATGTCTTAATGTCCTAATGTCATTTTCTTGGTGCTGAAATTTTGAGGTTAATATTGAAGTATATATGCTTTCATGATCAAAGTGTTTTGCCATCATCAAAAAGGGGGAGATTGTTGTACCTATGATTTTGATGATTACAAAACACATTTGAGTGACTAATTGATTTATATAAGTGTGTAGTTAAATTGCTAATATACTGCAAAGTAAGCAAAATGTGATTGCATTAAAAAGGGCTTAAAGGGTAAAAATATGCAGAGAACCGGCTTAAGAAAATTGCAACCGGCTCTAGGAAGCAAAAATGCAGAGTGCTAGCTGCAGATTTTGTTAAGCCGGCTTTACAGGCCAGAAATTCAATTGTTGTTTTTGCGCGTGTGGAAAATGGAAGCAGAGCCGGCTCCAACTTTGTAGCCGGCTGTGAGGGTGCATTTAATGCACAATGGTCGAGTTATTTGAAGATTATTAAATATGTTTAAAGTTGGGATCCTAAAGCCGGCTCTAGGCTTTGCAGTCGGCTGTGGAAGAAAATAGAATGTGCAGGAATCCCACAAAGCTGGTTGCAAAAATGATGAGTTGGCTGTACAGAGCCAGCTTTAGGAAGCTGAGCCGGCTCTCCTGACAATCCTGCAACTCAAGCTTTGCGTCCTGCAGGGCATTTAATGACCCCCAACGGCTAGAAACAGCTATTTTCGAGCAAGGGGCTATAAATATGGTTGGTAACATATCTGAAGAAGTTTGGAGAACATTATATTGAATATCTTTACCTACCAACTTGTGCTTTAACTAGAGATTTTGATCTTTAAGAGATCTTTGTTTGTAATCCTCTTCTTTTGCTATTAGTGAGTGATCTTGGGGGTGTGTTGATTCCTTCAAGAGTCATCCATAGAGAGGATCTTTGGGGTTTAAGTGTAAAGGGGTGAGATTTGAAAGAAACACCCTTCTTCATGTAAAGGATTGAGTGGCTCCTTTAAGCCACCATTGTTTTTGTTAGTGGAGAGTGTGGAGGAAATCCTTAGTGAGTGAAGCTAAGGTAGAGGATTAGGCTCTAAGTGGTTGGACCGAACCTCTATAAAATTATTGTGCAAGCTCTTCTTCTTCACTCTCTCTTTAATTTTTGTTTGGTGGTTGCAAAGAGGTGAAAATTCTCCAACTCCAATTCACCCCCCTCTTGGAGTGCATTGAGTCAACAAGTACATAATTAAAACAACCAAAAACAAAAGATTATAGAAAATGAAGACAATTTTACATAATAAAACAATTAAGAAAGTGAAAGTAATTAAAACAAATGGTAGAAAAGGAATTAGTTTTAGTTTTGGTATGTGAAGAATATGAGTAAAACTTAAAAACAAATAAGAGTTGTGATGAACAATAAAAAGAAGAGGAAAGATGAAGAGATGAAGTAGTGAAAAGTTAAAGAGACTTACTGAAAGTTAGAAGAACAAGGGGTAAAGCTAGAGAAGGAAGAAAGAATGAAGCTAGAGAACGAAGAAAAAAAATGAAAAAGAAGTTAGAGAAGTGATAAGAAGAATGTGGTTGCAGATGCACTTTCTCGCAGGTATGCATTAATCTCTACCTTTGATGCAAAATTACTTAGTTTTGAGCACATTAAAGAACTATATCCTTTAGACCAAGATTTTTTTGAGGAGTTTCAAGCTTGTGAGAAAAATGCAGTCAGTAAGTTTTATAGGCATGATGGTTTCTTGTTTCGGGAAAATAAGTTATGTGTGCCGAATTGTTCTTTGTGTGATTTGCTAGTTAGGGAATCCCACAATGGAGGGTTAATGGGACATTTTGGGGTTGGTAAGACCTTAGCTATTTTGTAGGAACACTTCTTTTGGCCACACATGAAAATAAATGTTGAGAGGATTTGTGGTAGATGTGTCACGTGCAAGCAAGCAAAATCCTGAATGCAATCTCATGGTTTGTATACGCCACTACCTATTCCTAGTGAACCTTGGATTGATATTTCCATGGACTTTGTGTTAGGCTTGCCTAGGACTAGGCGTGGAAAAGATTCAATTTTTGTGGTTGTGGATAAGTTCTTTAAGATGGCACATTTTATCCCATATCATAAAACGGATGATGTTTAACATATTGTTGATTTGTTCTTTAAGGAGATTGTGAGATTACATGGTATGCCTAGAACAATTGTTTCAGATAGAGATGCTAAGTTTTTGAGCTACTTTTGGAAAACTTTGTGGAGTAAGATAGGTACTAAACTATTGTTTTCTACCACCTGTCACCCACAAACTGATGGTCCAACTGAAGTAGTAAATAGGACTTTGTCAACTATGTTGAGGGCTATCATTAGTAAGAACATTAAAACTTAGGAAGATTGTTTGCCACATGTTGAATTTGTTTATAATTGTACTGTTCACTCTGCTACTAAATTTTCACTCTTTGAAATTGTGTATTGGTTTAATCTGTTAACTTCATTGGATTTATCTCCTTTACAAATGTTTAAGCGTGTTAATTTAGATGGCAAAAAGAAAGCTAATTTTGTGAGGCAGATTCACGAGAAGGCAAGACTCAACATTGAGCGAAGAACAAAGCAATATGCAAAGCAAGCCAACAAGGGGCATTCTAAGTTGGTCTTCGAACCTAGAGATTGGGTTTGGTTGCACATGAGGAAAGAAAGATTTCTAGCACAAAGGCATTCCAAATTGTTTCCAAGAGGAGATGGTCCTTTCCAAGTCTTAGAGTGCATCAACGATAATGCTTACAAACTAGATTTACCAAGTAAGTACAATGTTAGTGCCACTTTCAATGTTACTGATTTGAGTCCTTTTGATGCAATAGACGATTTGAGGACAAATCCTTTTCAAGAGGAAGGGAATGATGTAAATTTAGGTTGACTTTAAAAGGATTCAATTCAAGTTCCCGTTGAACCGGTTATGAGGGTTTGAGCTAAGAAGTTCAAGGAAGCACTTAATGGGTTGATTCGAGAAATATGGACTTAAGCAAATTCATGAAGGCCCATTGAGGGAAGTCTATGTGAGCCTCATAATTACATCAGCTTAATCCAAGTTCTAGAAGACTCTGTCAAAGCCAAGCCTAATCATTGCAAGTAATGGTCATGAACTTTGGGCATGAACTCAGCAATCATTCTGGCTCAAATTTATTACTTTCCTTTTTGGGTTTTAGCTTGCATGCAAAGTTTTTCTTTCTTGGGTTGAATTACACAGTTTGCGTCAAATCTGCCGCAGTTGACCGCAAAATAATATTTCACAATGTTCTTAGGTTATTTTAGCTTATTTTTACGTTTGTTGTGTTATTTGGGCTAAACATTTATTTAGTTGAAGCCCAAATTCGTGGTTATTAGGGTTAGGACCTAGTTTGTTAGTTTCCTATTTTGGTTAGGTTTAGTTTTAGCCATTTATAGGGCTACAAGCCTAATTGTAAAATAGATCATTATTCATCAACATTGTGAGAACGAATTCTCTCTGATTCTTTGAGCAACTTTTCGAACTTATTGGAATTATCCGTGGCATTCACCCTTGACTTATCAATCAACCCTTCCATAGTTGATTGTGGCGTCTTCTCCATACCAAGGTTCTTACCTCAACATAGGTAACGGGTCACGGTTCCATCCTCTCGAACTTATCTTAGAAACAGTCTTGGTGCCTTGTCTTGTTTACGGGTTTCGTCATAGTATGGCATAGTTCATATCAGCCTCTGTACTTAATCGTTCCCGTAATAAATGTTGACTCAATGCACTCCAAGAGGGGGGGTGAATTGGAGTTGGAGAATTTTCGCCTCTTTGCAACCACCAAACAAAAATTAAAGAGAGAGTTGAGAAGAAGAGCTTGCACAATGATTTTATAAAGGTTCGGTCCAACCACTTAGAGCTTAGTCCTCTACCTTGGCTTCACTCACCAAGGATTTCCTCCACACTCTCCACTAGGAAAAACAATGGTGTTAAAGGAGCCACTCAATCCTTTACAAGAAGAAGGGTTTCTCTCAAATCTCACCCCTTTACACTTTAACCCCAAAGATCCTCTCTACAGATCACTCTTGAAGGAATCAACACATCCCCAAGATCACTCACTAATAGCACAAGAAGAGCATTACAAACAAAGATCTCTCAAAGATCAAAATCTCAAGTTAAAGCATAAGTTGGTAGTAAAGATATTCAATACAATACTCTCTTACCCTCTTCAGATCTTCTACCACTCATATTTATAACCCCATGGTCGAAAATAGCCGTTACTAGCCGTTAGGGGTTATTAAATGCTTTGCAGGATGCATGACTCGAGTTGCAGAACTGTCAGGAGAGCCGACTTAACTTCCTAGAGCTGACTTAACTTCCTAGAGTCAGCTCTTCAGAGCCGACTCACACTTTCAGAGCCGGCTATCCGGGTTTGCAGGCCATTCTGTTTTCCTCGAGAGCCGGCTGCAAGACTTTGAGCCGGCTTTGGAACTCCGACTTTAAATACATTAAATAATCTTCAAATAACTCGACCGTTGTGCATTAAATGCACTCTCACAGTTGGCTATAAAGTTGGAGCCGGCTTTGCGTCTTTTCTCTGCGCGCGCCAAATAATGTTCTTCAAATTTTTGCCTGTAGAGCCGGCTACAGCTTCCAGAGCCAACTCTCTACACTTCCATTTCACAAGAGCCGGCTGCAGATTTTTAGAGCCAGCTCTCTGCCATTTTGAATCCTTTTGGTCTATTTTTAGTGCAATCCAAGTTTACTTGCAATCTTTTAGCAACTTAACTACACACTTAAATAAACCAATTAGTCATTCAAATGTGTTTTGTAATCATTAAAATCATAGGTACAACAATAAACTGTATTACATACTTATTATATCATTTAATAAAGTATAAGAATATTATATACTCAACTATATACTTGCAACAATGATATTCAATATAATTATAAATAAAATTACTTAAATTTTCATAATTCATTATAAATTTATGAAAAATTCATTAGAGTTTCCCCCAAAAACTATACTTTTCCCCTATAAATAAAGTATAAAAATACATTCAATCATATATATATTTTTAGCTATGATATTCAATAAGATTAAAATGCAATCTGATTTCACTTAAATGAATACATTTAGGGGAATTCATCAATAAAACAGCCATTATCATTTAACGATAATACATCCAACTTTGATCTCCCATTATGTGAAATATTTTCTTAAATTTATATTAAAAAAATTCATATCCTAACACAAATAATAATACATCAAATTTAATAAATTGCTAAACATATTTTAAAAATTAATATAATTAGTGTTATCATGATTTACCAATCAATTAATTAATATAATAATAGTTTACCAATCAATTAATTAATATCATCATTATTTATCAATCAATATTTAATCAATATAATCATAATTTTATAATCAATTAATTGATTTAATTAATTATAATTTACTAATTAATCAATTAATCAATATAATCATAATCTATCAATTTGTTAAACAATTTAATCATAATTCTCTCTAATTAATCAATATAATCATAATTTTATAATCAATTAATTGATTTAATTAATTATAATTTACTAATTAATCAATTAATCAATATAATCATAATTATTTATCAATCAATTAAAGAATATAATTACAATTTACTAATCAATCAATTAATCACTATAATCATAATTTATCAATCAATTAAAGACTATATTCACAACTTACTAATCAATCAATTAATCAATAAATCACAATTTACCAATTAATAATTAAAAATTCTTACTTCTTCCAAACTAAATTTCAAAAAAAAAAAAAAAAAAGGAGAAAAATTATATGACATACTTGTAATATGGAGACTTGTGATTCAGAGAAATCGAGAAATTAATGATTTGAAAGTGACAGATGGACCTACAAAATAAATAACAACAAAATCAGTTAATAAATTGAGAAAGGTAAAAACTAGACTAATGGAAATGAAAATTATGACAAAAGAATATATTCATTTATGCACATTAAAATTTTTAGATTAAATATAAATTATATGATAAAAGATCAAAAAGTAAAATTTAACTAACCTCCACACAAATTAAACAAGTAGAATAATAGATCTAGACACAAAGAGATTGAAGACAATTAGTGATGGCAATTGAGTGTGTTTGAGAGAGGATTACTTCCAAAAAAAAAAAAAAAAAAAAAAAAGATGAGGAAAAAAAAAAAAAAAAAAAAAAAAGATCCAACCAAATTATACATTCCTTAGCCCCAAAAAAACACCCAATATTGGCTAGATCAAGCAACAACAATTCTTGGTGTCTGATTGCACCCAAAAGAAGTGAGAAATTGAAAGGAGACAATCTGAGGAAGTAGAAGAGGTTTTGGGAGAAATTAAATTTGTTCACACATTTTGATCAGCATATATGACCAAAATGCAATGGGAAAATGTGGGACCCACTTGAGAATCTATCAAATTAGATTCCCTTCATTTTTTCAATCAAGCTTGGCAAAGATTTCAACTTCCATGGCATCATCAATAATGGTAAGAGGAGTCGAGGTTATAACCAGAACAATATGAAGTAGGATGCAGACAAAAATCAATGCGTGTTTATGGAATGTTTAAGGTGAATCCAATCGAGACTTTTCACAGACAGGTTACTTACCTTGGGAGTCTGAAAGCTAGCTTGGAATGGGATAGGAGATCTGGAAGGAGCAGCTTTCTTGGGAGTCTAGAAGCTAGCTTGGAATGGGATAGGAGATCTGGAAGGAGCAGCTTTCTTGGGAGTCTAGAAGCTAGCTTGGAATGGGATAGGAGATCTGGAAGGAGTAGCTTTCTTGACTTCTAGAAAGAGATCAATCACCTCATTTAGGTTGACAATCTTGAAATTTTTATTAGCAAGCCATAAGGAAAAATGAGAGCTTTTCGCCTTAGGTGGAGACTTTTGGATTTCTAAGGGAAATGAGTCTGAACCTTCTTGCCTTGGAGACCTATCAACTACAACTTTAGTAGTGGGATCGTGGATGATCTCACTAACCAGGGTTTGCAGACGAGTTTCAAGAGCAAATGAGGCCTCAAAAAGAAAAGATGAAGGTGCTATGGCCAACCTTCTAGCTGTAGGAGGTTTATAGGCTGCCCATTTGACACCTGTAGAAAGATTTCAAAAGGGATCGATTTTTGGCAAACGGGGAGAATTATAGTAAAACTTACACTTTGAATTGAATAGTACCTCCTTTTCTAGGAACTTTTTGGGGTGCCTTGTCCGTTTTAGGACTCACTAGACTAGAAGCCTTCCGTTTGGTTGGTGCTTTCTTTTTTGCCAAAGTTTTACTTGTGGCAGCAAAGTCTGAGCCAACGTCATTAGCCTGAGGTCTTGTTTCTACCATAGACTGGTTAGGCTACAAGGAAGGAAGAAAAGCAATAAAGTTCTTAGCTACACTAGAAAAACTCAGGACAAAATAAGATTTCCACCATTCCTTGTATATGGTAGTGCAGTTGGGCTTAAATGGCGGCCCTTGGAGGATTATATTCTATAGAGTAAGCATTAAAGTAGCTAAGCACTTAGAAACCGAGTTAGCTCCTTTCACAGTATAACGAAGAGGGAAACAATGGTTGAAAGAGAACATGGGAGAGACTAGTACCCCTTGACAATAGCCTAATTGCCGGATGAAATGATTTAGAGTAGAAAGTTCAACCCCACTTTTATTGTAATAATTATTGTAGCCCACAAATAAATCTCAAGGGGTTACATAGGCAGTCTATGTTGAAATGAAGTCTATCATCCCTACTTCTACTTTATACCAGTTTAGCCTAAATTGTTTGTCCAAAAATGGGGCAAATTCAAAGTCTAATTTGTCAATGGAAGTGGAAGCAAAAAATTGAAAGAAAGATTCATAAGTCTTAGTGGGCTTTCCTTCATGGGTGGCTTCTTTGTAGATTATGCCATAAGTAAGAATTTTTTCAATAGACTACGATTTCAGAGTAGGACCCAAGGCTGGAAAGTAAGCGTACAACTAAAGTTGTAAAATCCATAAAGGGCCACCATAGAGGTTGAATTGATAGATGGTAGCATCATAGCAGCCTCGATATAGGTTGGTTAACAGAAATGCAACAAGTGCCACGCACCTACCATGACCTAAAGCCAAAGCCAGTGTGATGTATTCTTCGGTGGGTCCTTTTCAAACAACACAAACTATGAATTTACAAAATAAGGTTAGCAAAAAAACAGTATGCTCTTTCACGTCTGGGGCTTTAAACGAGCTTTAACTAGCTTTAATAAAAGCATTGTAAGAAGGTAGAATGGACTTTGAGTCAAACTTGGCACCTAGGACACTCAATAGAGCTGTGATTTCCACTCTAACACAAGGTAGACCAATAAGGGAGCAAACGTCAAACAAAGTAACAAACATAGCACCACAAGGAAAATGAAAACAATTATAAGAGCTAGACAAAACAATAAAGCAATTCTAAGCAAAGCCCTATCCATGGACATCTAGTAAGTGGTCATATGGATAAATTTGTACAGACTCAGTGTTTTCCATGTATTTCCAAAGGGTTTCTCTAGTCGAGCAACCTAAGAAGACCAATCATCAATTTTATTAGTCAGCTAAGACCCAAATCTGCCCAGCCAAGGTTCCTAATCTAGTTTGAGTTGATAGGGAAGAAAGCGTCTATGAGGTTGCGGGTACAAAACACGTGAGGTTGAGGGAGGTGCTGATGTGAAAGCAAGACCCAAGATTAAAGAGTCTAAAGTTTCAAAGGATACCTAGTCTGTGAAGCACTTTGGTTCCTTGTTGCAAATTGAAGAAAGTTCTTCTTGCATATCCCAATTTTTGAAGATGTTACCAAGGTCCGTTTGTTCTGGAAGATCAGATCTGGGAAGAAAGGTTCTGGTTGCGACTAGGTCTGTGTTGGTTTTCTTGCCGCCAACCATGGTTGGTGACTTAGATTTGGGGATGGAAAAGCTACATTCGATGATGAAAGGTAGGTTTGTTGTTTTCTAGTTTTGATCTTGTAAGTGGAGCTTTTGAGTGTGACGAAGAAGATGAATTGGTGGTAAAAAATAAAATAAAGAGAGGGTCAACAATGAAACTTAGAGTGATAAGGTGATATGTAGATTTTTGGGAAGAGTCCAAAAGGTTAGGATTAGATTAATCATGCATGTGGCTTTAAGAATCTTAAAAGGTGAAAATTTAAACACTTGGATTTATGCCTATAAAACCAAGTGTTGGGGGGCATTGTTTACACCTAAAATAAAACTAATAGGATGAGGCCATGTGTCAGAGTGAGGCCTAGCTATTAAATCCACGTAAGGAGAATCAGTAGGATGGGTTGGTTTAGGCCAACTTGAAAATTTACAACCCAGATGGAATTCATGGTGGGTTGAACTTATGTCGCAAATGATAAGGTGATTTACTTAATGGTTGAGTCTGATTTAAATTAGGAAGTTGAGGGTTTTTAGAAGAAGGTTACTATCAGGGTTTTATTAGAATTAAAATCGAATTAAAACTATCAATTGTCAGACAAAAGAAAACCGCCTCAAATGTGGACCAACCACTATCCATTTATGATGAAAGAAGACTGAGAATCATGGAGGAAGAATCCCAGCATCAAAGAAAGGGAAAACAAGAGGAAAAAAAGACATGTACAAACACATGGCTTGCCCTATAGAAAAACCTCCTAACATGCATGCAACTTCAGTTTTCAGACCTTCTTTCACAGTTTTCAGCATGATTTTCATATTAGAATGCAAGATCTACTCTTGTTCTTAGATCTAGTTTAGGTTTTTCCATCCTTGTTCATATTTTCCTTCAAAGATTGAAACTTTTGTTAATTTTTAAAGATTCAGAAGTAATTCAGCCTTGTAAATGGGTCCACCTCATTGATTTAGTTAGTTTTTCTATCTTTTATGGATTCCTCTCTATTATTTATTTATTTGAATAGGTTGAATGCTTTTTGCCTTCTCTTTTTCGTTTCTGCACAACTACCAGACTTTGTTTGACTTCAATTTCTAGGTTAGGTTTAAATTTACAAGTTTCGAGACTTTGATCTATTCGTAGATTTTCCTTTAGTTTTAGCAATCAAGTAGTTCAATTATGTTTATTTTAAATCTGCAAGTAATTAGTTTAATCATTATGGATTATGTAGTTAAAATCATTGTTTGGACTTTTACACAGCCTGTTGTCTACGAATTTATTTCTGTCGCATGTTTTTTTCTCTTATTGATTTTGTGTTAGGATAATTTGCCTTAGGATATTACATTTAATTTAGGTTTGTAGCTTTTGTTACACTTTAGTGGTTTTTAAGTCCTTGGAGGTGTCCAAGGCAATTATCAACCCATTTTGTAGAACTCCACCCTCTACTTTGCAACGTCGTCTAGGGTGCAATTTAGTTCACAGATGTTCTTTTCAGCCATCTTTTTGGAGGTCAACCGTTAGAAAAGAGAAGGGTTGTCTCGAAAATCCAATTTTCTTATTTATTGACAATGCAAGTGGCACGCCTCATACCCAAACTCATGTGATTAGGGTCGCTTAAGGATTTTTGAAGAAACAAAGTGACAAGTTGACATCCTTATTTACACATTTTATCTTTAACAACCTAGAAAATTTCGCTATAAAATCTCGCTATCAAATCTTTGAATCCAATTTTGCATCTACTCCACAATCATGCCCAAATGCTCAATATTTTGGCCATTGCAATTCAAATGCTCATTAGAAAAGGATCCATCTAATATAGTCCAAATTATATATTAAAAGTGTAATTTATTTTATAAATTTAGTAAAATATCTTTAATAAAATAACATAAAAATACAAGTAAAAATGTTATTTCTTATGTTATTTCATTACATATGTTTTAATAAATTTATAGGATGGATTACACTTTTAATATATAATTCACTTTGTAAATTACTTTAAAAAAATTCTCTTTATTTTTATTTTTATTTGCATTTTTAAGTGTAATACAAATTCAAGTAAAATATAAATTGTCTCTATATCTTTAATATGAAGATTAAAAAAAAAAAAAACCATCTATTATTATTCTAGTGTAGAGGGAGTAGAATATGATAACAACAAATAATTTATATCAATGCATGACAACATCTGGAACCTTAGAAATTAAAAGCAGACATCTCTACTAAACAAAATGTTACACAACCTGTTGTCAAAAAAACTGAATATTACACAGCCAATTTGTCTCCATTTCAAAAAAATAAAAAATTATAAAACCATCCATACAAACAATTGTCATGACACTTTAGCAGCATAAACCTTGCATGTCACATTTCATTAAAACACCCAAACCCAGCTCTAAAAACATACATCCCCATACGGGCATTTCATCAAATACAGGGAGTGTGTATTTAAAATCACCGTCACTCTTCCAAACTTTACCAACCTCCTCACCCAAAAATCAAAGGAAATAAAGAAAGCTCTTCCAGAACAATCAATTGCAACACACCAAATTAATTTAGTAAAAATTCCACAATAAAAATAAAAATTATTATAATTATGTACCTTAACATGGAGACATCCAGAGCCTTAAAACGATTTCTCCATGGCTCCCATTTTCTTCCATTTTCTCCTTCAACGAGTCTTCATGTAAGCCACTGGCATAACTCTCTCATTTGCAAAGTAAAAGTTTGAGACCATCCTTTACACAATCGACTCTCACTTGCCGTCTTCTGCACCTTCTCCTTTAACATCCCCACCATCAAGAAATAGGTTGGAAAGATCTTGCTTTGCAAGTTTCCAAACTAATGCCTTGATAAATTTCTAATTTCAGATAGATGCATTCCTAATCTGATTTCGTGTCAACTCTTCAATTATGCCCGAATGCTCAATATTTTGATCTTCGCAACTGTCTGAAATGGGTCAAAGATGTGATTACGAGATTCTCTACATCGTCAAAGATAAAAATAATAGAACAGATTTTATGGATATTGTTGATGGAAATCGGTTATAGTGCTTTTACAAAAATGAGAAGCTTGCATTCAACTTGGGGAAGAGGCCGATGAAGAGAAGAAAGAAACTAATATAGGATGTCTCGTGGCACAGGTGGATCCCACAATGCACAGTTGGACAAAACAATAATTAAAACGGGTTGTAAACATCTAACCGTCTGCATTTTAATGGTCCAAAAACAGCTGTTACCCTTACAATGGATGGAGGGACAAATTTGAGGTCTTTTGAACAGTTGAGGGAGGACATGAGGTGAATCCATGGTAGAAGGTTAGATTGAATTTTTTTAATAGTGGAGGGACGATAGTTGGCATTAACCCTCCACTTTCTTAGACAATTGTCCGTGAATTGTAGGGCATTTTCTATTTGGATTTATTTCGATTTTAATATTTTCAAAATTATTCTAATTTAAACCAATTTAATTCACCATTATATTATAACAAAATCAATTCAATTAAAATTAGATTGGTGTGATTAGATTAGATTAATTAATTTTTAATATAATTTTAAATACATTTTATTAGTAAACAATCTAAATATCAAA